TGCAAGCTGTCCACACTCCAGTGTACACTGATGTGCAAGCTGTCCACACTCCAGTGTACACTGATGTGCAAGCTGTCCACACTCCAGTGTACACTGATGTGCAAGCTGTCCACACTCCAGTGTACACTGATGTGCAAGCTGTCCACACTCCAGTGTACACTGATGTGCAAGCTGTCCACACTCCAGTGTACACTGATGTGCAAGCTGTCCACACTCCAGTGTACACTGATGTGCAAGCTGTCCACACTCCAGTGTACACTGATGTGCAAGCTGTCCACACTCCAGTGTACACTGATGTGCAAGCTGTCCACACTCCAGTGTACACTGATGTGCAAGCTGTCCACACTCCAGTGTACACTGATGTGCAAGCTGTCCACACTCCAGTGTACACTGATGTGCAGCTGTCCACACTCCAGTGTACACTGATGTGCAAGCTGTCCACACTCCAGTGTACACTGATGTGCAAGCTGTCCACACTCCAGTGTACACTGATGCAAGTTGCCCACACTCCAGTGTACACTGATGCAAGTTGCCCTCACTCCATTGTATAGTGATGCGAGTTGCCCACACTCCAGTGTGCAGTCTACCTACCTGGAGGGTATTCCGGGGATCAACGCCCCCGCGGCCCAGTCCATGGCCAGACCTCCCGGTGGATCAGGGCCTGATTAACTAGGCTGTTACTGCTGGCAGCTGGTCACACGTAGTCCAATTTATGAATCACAGTCAGGCTGATCCGACACTGACTTTGGGTATCTGTCCAGCTCCCTCTTGAAGGCAGCCTGGGGTTTATTGGTAATTCTCATTATGACTGATGGGAAGCTGCTGAACAGTTTTGGGCACCGGACACTTACTGTGTTTTGCCTTAGTGTACTAATGGCGCCTCTACTTTTCATTGGGGTTATTTTGCACCGCCTGCCAAGTGTTTTGCTTTCGTAGGGAGTGATTTCTGTGTGCATGTTAGGGGCCAGTCCCTCTCCGATTTTTCAGAGGTACATTATGATGTACCTCTCGCCTGCGCTCCAGCGACTACAAGTGCTTCCAAGCGTTCCCAGTAGTTAAGTTGTTTGATGGCACTTATACGTGCAGTAAAGGTTCTCTGTACATTCTCTAGATCTGCAATTTCACCTGCCTTGAATGGAGATGTTAATGTACAACAGTACTCCAGCCTAGAAAGAACAAGTGATTTAAATAGGATCATCTATGGCTTGGCATCTCGTCTTGAATATTCTTATTATCCAGCTTATAATTTTCCTCGCAAATGTGATAGTGGCACTGTTGTGATCCTTGAAGGTGAGACCCTCAAACATTACCACTCCCAGGCCCTTCACATTACTTTTCCGCTCTACTGTGTGACTATAGAGTTTGTAGTATACTCAGTTCTAGCTATTATTTCCTCCAGTTTTCCATAACGGAGTAGTTGGAATTTGTCTTCATTGAAAATCACATTGTTCTCCGCTGCCCATCGGAAAATTTGGTTTATTATCTTCACGGAGGTTTACAGTGTCCTCAATGAATGACACTCGTGCAGATCCTAGTATCGTCTGCAAAGGTTGATGCGGTGCTTTGGTTTACATCTCTATCTACGTCTGATATGAGAATGAGGAACAGGATGGGGGCGAGTATTGTGCCTCCTGGAACAGAGCTCTTCACTATGGCGGCTTCCGATTTAACTCTGTTTACCACTACTCTGCGTTCGATTGGTTAGAAAGATGAAGATTCATCCGCCCACTTTGCCAGTTATCCCTTTAGCACGCATTTTGTGTGCTATTACACCATGATCATACTTGTCAAAGGCTTTTGCAAAACGTGTGCATACTACAACTGTATTCTGTGTCTTCCAGTGCATCCAATACCGTATCAGTAGTTACGAGAGGCAGTAGCTACCTGCTCTGAACCCTGGACTGTACAACTGTTGGGAATCCAAGTGGTTAGAACTCTTTCCAAGATTTTTATGATGTGGGACGTTAGAGCTATGGGCCTAGTTCTTAGCCAACTGGTTTGCTGCCACCTTTATGGAGTGGGGCTATATCCGTTGTTTTTAGTGACTGGAATTTCACATGTGTGTATGCTCCTTCTCCATAGCATACTCAGGGCCAGCGAAAGGGGTTTCTTGCAATTCTTAATGAACACAGTTCCACGAGTCTGGAACTGGGGCTGAGTACATGGGCATGTCGTCGATGACTCTCAAAGGCTAGTGAAGTTAGGGTTATGTCAGAAATTTGGCATACTTTGAAGGGGTTTTGAGGCTCATTTATGAAAAAATTATTTGAACTGTCGATCTTTAGACTGATTAATGGTTAGGTAAACACATTCGTATTGAAATTTCAGTATCTCACCGATTTCCTTGTTATCTGTGCAAGTTCCATCTTGTCTGAGTTGGGGCCCTAATACTAGATACTGTTTTTGGCAAATGAAAAGAAATATTTCGAATTTCTTTCAATTTCACTAATCGCTTTTAGCTCCTTCCGTCTCTCCTGGATCCTGCACGAGTCCTTTATGCTCAATATTTTTCACTTCCTTAGTTAACGCTTCCTTAGTTAACGCTTCCTTCCGTGTTTCAGATAATCTAGCGTTCTTGAGGAGCTCAGTGATTCTTCGCCTTCTCTTGTAGAGGGAGCGTCTCTCTCCAGTTTACTTCTCTTTTTTTTTCTTAGGAGAATATGCTTGAACATACTTCAGCTGCCAGGAAGTTGATCTTTTCAAGGCAGTGATGCGAGTTCCCCAAACTCCTGTGTACAGTGATGTGAGTGGCCCGCACTCCAGTGTACAATGATGTGAATTGCCTACACTCCAGTGTAGTGATAAGAGTTGTCCACACTCCAGTGTTCAGTCACACTTGTAATATGGTGACAATTTTAGTGCCCACTGTATTTGTGCCTTCATGTCAGCACAGGTGTGAAGCAACTTCCCATGTTTATAATGCTCATGATGTCAGCACAGGTGTGAAGCAACTCCCACGTTTGTATTTCTCATGATATCACCATAGGTGAAACATCGTCACTCTTCATACATTAATGATTAACCGTGATCAATAGTCATACTGCACAAGATAAACAATGGAAGAACATTTGCAGAGAATAACTTTGGTAAGTTTCAACTGTGGAACAATGACTAGAGAAATGAGACGCTTGTACAATATTTGGGTATCTTTATTCTGTAAATGTTTCGCCAGCCAGTGGAAGCTCTTCTTTAGTCCTATGCCGAGAAAAGTGGCAGATGAGTAGTTGAGGTAATCAGTCCCTCAGTTTGGAGTTTATATCTTGCCAAAACGTTTCCAGAATAAAGATACCCAAAAGTTGTACATGTCTCATTTATGAACCTGTCGGTTTTTTAACTATTTATCCAAACTGACTAGAGTACCTTATTCCAGAGGTGAATCGTCTCAAAGTGATTCTCTCCAAATTGTTTATCTTGTACCTGTGATCAATAACAGTCAAACTACCTAAAGCTCTCACTTAAGAGGCACCTAAGTTCATTTTTCCACTCTAATCTACATTGTCTATAATTATTATCGCATTTGCTTTGTCTGGTTTCGTAAGACGAAGTCTAGGATTTTACCATGAATTAAGGAGAGAACCTAGTCTTCATCTTACGAAAGCAGACAAAGGAAATGCGATAATAATTATGGATAAGGTAGATTATAGTGGAAAAATTAACATGTTATTAGGAGACAGGAGGAAACTCGTGCGCCTCTTAAACAACAACATTAATCCTTGTTCTAGATCTCACATTTCAGATTTAGGAAAGCAACATATTTTGAGTTTAAATTTAAGCCAATCATGGATTCATTTCAAACAATGTGATTGTACTGCATTGCATTTTTTAAATTATAACATGATTAATGCCCATAAAAAAACAAAAGGCTTTTTATTCCTTTGAGGAAAACTGTTGAAGGTTTGAAAGGAAAAGATGTTAGATGTCGCCCGAACTTCCTAGTATGAAAGACATTTTAATTCTGTAGTCTTACCCAAATGACACCACAAATACAATATAATTAATCAGATAAAAATGTACTGTAAATTTTCAGCAATCAGAATGCATTAAATTTTGAAAATATGCCTTCACTACAAGTTTAAGGAAATTATAAACCGGGAAGGGAAATATCTAAGACTCGACATTGATTAAAGGGACACAAACCTCACAACACAAACAAGAGGCTTGGGAAGACATCTTGCTACGTCACAGCAAGAGGGTATGACACACCTGTACCACCACCATTTAACCACGGTCACAGCAGTCTACAACAGATGGACAACATCCTTGCAACTCCTCACTGTTGAGAAGTGACTGACGTACTGGGCAAGGATCTATCAGGTGGTCTCGCTAAACAAAGGGGAAACTATCTAAATCACAATTCCAGTGAGGTTAGGTGACTATTCACCCCACTACTGCCGTATCACTATAGGCAACCACTGTTCACTCTTGGTAAGGCCAAGGTTATGGGGGCATGGATTGGTTGGTTTGTCAGGGTATGGCCTATCGACTAAACAAGGGTCATGTCACCTATACACCAGCAATCAAGAATACTTCAATTCATAAAATATGAATCAAAGCAAACTCAGCGCACATATAGGCATACACCTTTCGGTGTGTGTATATACTGCTGCTGGTGGCATATGTGGGTAGGATATATAAAAAAAAACTACCTAAACCAGTTTAAGGCACAGGTAGCAGGACTGCGGAGTACTATGGGAAAAATTTGTAACTGCTAGCATGTACTGGGGTGCAAAATGTGTGCAATGAGATCGACAGAAAAAAAAGTTATTTTTACAGGAATATCAGGAATAAGGAGGAAACAGAAGGGAAGAGAGGGATTTTGGATGACAAAGGGCCGCAGTAAGCGGTTTTGGGGACAATCGGAAGAAGCAAGTGGAAAACCTGAGCGTGGAGTGCAGGGTAGTAGCCTGTAGGTGGGCATGGTGCAGGGCAGCAGGGGCAGGGAGGGATCACGACAACCCAGGCAGTATTTACAGAGTGGGGCAGCTTGGCCGGAGACTTACAGATCTATCATGAACTGGTAGGGCAGCCCTGTGAGAAAGCTGCAAGGAAGCAAGGCGAATGGAAAGTAAGACATGTCAATTACCATTCTACAAACAATAATTCAATTAATCCCTAGTCAAAAACAATAATTTTTCTAAACTTGCTATATAATTCGATATAGGTAGCCAATTCTATAACTTCTAAATTAGTGGAGCTATTACAAATGAATCTAGATAAAATACTGTAAACACGAGGCTACAAAATACTATATGAGAACAAATTAAGTTATGTTGAAAAGAAACATTAAGTTCTCATGATTAAAACAATGCTCCCATCAAAGTGGTACTTCTAAATCACTACTCTCCAATTATACTCATTAACAAACTATTTCTAATGCAAATTGAGGTTTCAAAAAATCTACCTACTCTTTATTAAGTAACTCATGCATAAAAGATTATTATTAATTATATATATATATATATATATATATATATATATATATATATATATATATATATATATATATATATATATTTATATTATGTCGTGCCGAATAGGTAAAACGCGATTTTGGCTTAAATAGCAACGTTCTTCTTGCCGAATAAGGTAAGCGAAAATGTGTATACAAGTATACAATAATTTCGCAAAAATCATTCTGAACCTAACGAAAAAAAATATATTTCATTGTTTTTTTTATTATTAAATTATTGTAAATTATATCAAATATATTTTGTTGGATTAGGCTAAATTAAACTGCGCGTGTTATAAGGTTAGGTAACTTTTGTAAGGGTCTTTTGATACAAAATTATTAATTTTTATATTAACATAAATGAAAAAAATATTTCTTTAAACGTATAAGAGAAACTTTTTTTTAGAAAGGACTTAATTTTAAACAAGTTCTTGCTAAATGACCAGTTTTACCTATTCGGAACGACATTATATATATATATATATATATATATATATATATATATATATATATATATATATATATATACATATATATATATATAAAATACATACACACACTGGGAACTTGCGCACTGCCACTACACATTTTAAATGTTTATACGTATATGGTGGGTACTTTTGCGGTGGCAGGTGTATATGCACAGTTCGGGCCCCCTCAGTGGGCATACTGTACACCCTGCATGTTCGTACAAAGATGGTTTATATACATCATAGAATGCGTTATTTACATGCTAGGGCATCTCTGCACAGATTAAGGGATCACTGACCAAATTAGAGCATCACTGAGCATAGCAGGTTAAGGCATGGCTGCGCGTAATAGGATATTAATAGGGTGTCAGCGCACATGCCAGGGTGTTACTACATACGCTAGGGTATCACCTCATAAGTTTAGGGTATCAGCGTGCACAATAGGATATTACTGCGCATAAAAGGGCATCACTGGGTATGTTTGGCCGTCGCGGCGCATCCTTGGGTCACTGCGCCATATCAGGCAATTACTGCGCATGTTGGTGGTATCAAGGCACATGCTAGGGTATCACTGTGCACTGCCTCCACGCAGGTTAGGGTACTAATTTTAGTTTTGGGGCATGAGTACACATATGGGGGTATTTCTGAATATTTTCGTGTATTAATCATACTGAGTATCACTGCAGATGATTAAGTACCTCAGCACGTATCAACTGTCTGATAAATGATAACTGCGGTATGAATGACGGGTGAAAATTGATGAATGATTGATAACTGAAGTATTAATCATGGATGAAAACTGATGAAAGATGTATAACTGTTGGATAATAACCGATGAAGTATGAATGATAAATACTAATAAATGAATTATGGATGTTAACCGAAGGATAATCGAGAAATAATTGATGATAATCGATGAATGGTGTATGACAAATGATGAATGATTGATAACAGAGAATGATTATTGATCGGTGATAATCTATTATGGATGATGGATGATAAATGATGGGTATACCTGGAGTATACCTGGAGAGGGTTTCCGGGGTCAACGCCCCCGTGGCCCGGTCTAAGAGCAGGCTTCGTGATAATCGATGATGGATAATTGATGTGTAATAGGTGATGAATGATGGATAATATAATCGATGAATTATGAATGAAAATCGATAATAGATGATGGATAATTTATGAATTGATAAAGGATTATTGATGGATGATAATGAATGACTGATGATAATCTGTGAATGAACGATAATTGGTGAATGATTATTGCAGCTTGGATAATTATATAACTAGATTATAATCGGTGAATGGATGATAACTGATGAATGATTGAGCATGAATGATAACTGAATAAAGCATGAATAATTGATGAATAAAACACGGATGATAACCAATAAAAAAATGGATGATAATTGACGAGTGGTAATCGATAACTGATGAATGAGGGACAATAAATTACATTCATGGAGCGCTACACCCGCAGGGGTCATATACAACATTGCCGGGGGGGGGGGCACGTTAAGCTATCAAGTACGATCCAAGGGAGGAGAGGTCAGGTCCAGTTCCTTGAATCAAGAGCCCTTCACTGGCATGAAGGAGCCTCAACCCCCACCCTTGATGGGATGACGGATGATGATCATTATTGATTTCATGGGAGATGCGCTGCAGAATGGGATGTAACCAGGTTTGATTCGAGGAAAGAAGAATGGCTCCGATTCCTTGAAGGTGCATGTTTATTAATGTATATTTAAGATTACTGGGCAGGGCATGGTATAACTGCGTACGATATGGTATAACTGCGTAGGGTATGGTATCATGGTGCAGGGCATGGGTATGACTACGCACTGTGCGCATTTGAGTGCCAATGCGCCTTTTCGTATGTTAATGCACGTATTCAAGTACCGCCATAACTACCTAAGTGTTGTTGTCTGTGTGAACTAGTAAGTCACTATGGACGGACCGTCTTCACAATATAACGTCATAATCCGCACTCTTATATTTACACGTGATCCACATCATCGTTCTCGTGTATGTCAACATTCACGTCGAAGGAAGAACGTACTTTCAACTTCGGTAGAGAATAAAAAGTTACTAAAACCCAGAACTTTGAAGAGGAACCTTATATGGGGTATACCAGGAGGAGGTTTCGGGGAGTTAACGCCCCCGCAGCCCGGTCCGTGACCAGGCCTCGTGGTGGATCAGAGTCTGATCAACCAGGCTGTTACTGCTGGCCGTTTAGCGATTCGGAGAAACGAAGGGACACGTAGCCAGAAACGAAGGGAAAGCGGTTTCCAGAACTAGAAGAAGGAAGCTGAGGAAGGTTGAAGCAGGGTCAGGCAACAGAAATAGCTTTGCTTTTCTTCAGGACAAGTCTGCATGCAAGAAAATATTCCAGTCGTTGAAGATTATCAGATTCGATATATGGCTCGGGCTTTCTGTAATAGGGCTAAGAAGACAAGACAGAAGGTGTCTCTCTCTCTGGAACAGGTGTAGGCGATGTAGTGAACAGGTTAGATAACATGTTAGGTAATGAAAATAACTATTATCTGCCCTAGTGCTGATTGAGGAAATCAGTCCCTCAGCCTGGAGTCGATGTAATCAGTCCATCAGTCTCTAAAAGGAATACATCATTTGCGCGAAGTGGATTATATACTGTAGACAGGCGAGGTGAAGCAGTCGTAGGCGATATCACAGTAGATTAATCCACATGTGGAAGTAGGTCATGCCTATAGGTTATGCAAGTGAAGAATTTCCTGTATCAAGATCCCAAGATGTTTCTGTGTCTGACAGGAATGTAGATAAATGATTCAGCGAACCGACAAGATTGATGGACTGATTACATCGACTCTAGGCTGAGAGACTGATTACCTCAAACTCCTGATCTCCACCATTCTTTTGTTTAGGACTGATGAAGCCATTGTGTGGCGAAACTTTTCCTCAATAAAGATACCCAAGTGTTGCACATGTGTCTAATTCATCAACTTGTCGGTTCTCTGAACCATTTATCTACATTCCTGTCTTGTAGATGTTATTTGTATTGTTAATTAAGGTGTGGACGTAGGAAAGCCATTTTCAGATTTCTTAAAGTTGCTTCTGGAGAGGTGGTAAAGTTGTGTTTTGTTTCCAAAGGTGAATTTGTGTGGTTTGATGAACTCAAGTACTTGTGTTAGCGTTAAACGATGTGGTGACATACAGACAAACCTGACAGTCCCAGCCCAGAGCCCTTTATACAGCTCCGTGCAAGTCATATATAGTATCACCATTAGATGGAGAGGTGCAGGTTAGGTTGTCCCATGTAGGTGTACTGGAATGGGTGTCTTCCTCATCCTCTCCTTCGGAAAAGGATTGTGTCTTCATAGGTACTGGCAGGTGCCTGTGATTTATCAGTGGTGTGATGTGCTGGTGGATTGTCAGCTGGCTGAGAGACGTAGGAGGCGGTGGATGAATCAGTATAGTCTTCGTTGTCGTCGATGGAAGCAGTTGGGGGTGGTACAAGAGCAGCTGCTTGGCCAGGAGGAGATAGGTCTGCAGGTGTAGTAAAGTTCACAACGTTGGGCACAATCCTGAAAATGTCGGCCGAATGTGTGGAGTCAGGGAAGATGAAGGGAGGCATGTTTAGTCGGAAGACTTCGTTGATAGTAAAGTGCACCAGGGTTTGCAGCATTTGCAAGGTGTGCATACACCATACAATACAGCACATCTCTCCACAGGGAGTGGAAAGAGGGAGATACTGGGAGAAGGAGACTTGTGTTGCCTAGAGAATCTTGGTAGTATCAGATTGAGTTCAGTAATGGCATCATATATAGGAGATCTTGAGGTGTTCTTAAGGTCTATTTGAATCTTCTTAGTTATTTCTTTTCGTAGTGGGCACTTAGCTGCAAGAGTATGATTACCTTTGCAGTAAAGGCATGCTGGAGCAGTGGTGGCAGTGCAGGATTTGAAATTGTGGCCTTCTTTCCCACAGTTGGAACCGAATTTCCTGTTCTTGATGGGGCAGTCCTTGGTAGTGTGGTTGTAAGAGTAGCAGGTCCAGCAAGGGGAGACGTGTTTGTAGCGTTTTAGTTCGATGTGGCTTCGGTGTGTGGTAATAAGAGATGGCCAATCCGTCAAAGAGAACTTG